GTTTTCGGAGAGCATACCTTATCAGGGAGGGGTCTCTCCTGTATGAGAAAGCATCCTTCACGGCCCCAGAGTTGAAGTGGAGCAGTGGCAGGTGTCATTTTTAGCCACATGATCCGCGATTTCGACCTCAACAACGAAATTTCCATCCTCATGAAAACTTGATTAGTTTTAGACTTGTGGACAGGAACACGACATGAATATCAACTATCATCACAATGGCAGAAACCCATTAAAACATCTGAATTTCCTGAAACGAAGTGTGATATGTGGCGCATCCCATCTTGGGTTGTGGTTGCACGCGTTTTGTGCCAGTGTGCGAACGCTGGCACCGTTTCAGCTCGGCGGCGTTCCAAATCGCATGGGGTGTGTCGCTGTTCTGCTTCAGTGCTCTCGTTTTTGCGCTCAGTTCGTAGTTGGTTAGGTTTCTATGATTCATAATTCCGTACTATACATTTCTATTATTCGTCCAGTATGTTTCCTTGCTGGAACTCCGTTGATATCCACCGTTGAATCTATTTTTAACTCAAACGACAATTTTCAGGTCGCTCATGTGTCGATACTCGTTCGTTTAACATAGCAGAACTCATTTATTTCACTTATTCTCTCTAAAATGACTGCAGCACCGTTGAGTGAGCGAGAACAGCTCGCGTCTCTTGTCGAACAATGGAATGAAAATCGTCTGGATTTATTTCATCTCAGCTATCCAACCGAGGTACGCTTTATGACTCCCTCTTATGGTTCATTTTCCATTATTTCTAATTCTCCTGCTTCCTTTGAATGTTATTTTACTTTCATGACTCTGATGGTCTGACCGCTTGGCGGTTTAGTGGTAAAATCTTACCAGTGGGGTTCATTTCTGTAGTTCGACAATGTTTTCGTGATTATCAAACCATTTTCGGAGGGTTTTGCCTTATTCCTTCTGGAATCTAATCAGTGAGGTGCAGTTATTGATCAGATCTTCATTGAATCGATATTTCCAGGATCTCGAGATCGAGGGCGTCATGCGCTTCTACTTCCAGGTTTGATTCATATCTCCGCCTTGTTATTCGTATTAATAGTCGGACATGTTCCTGAACTTTTATGAATGTTATTGTTTTACGTTTTTCTATGTTATCTTCCCTTCTATAGGCCTTTTTTGGCGACAGTATCCGCGCCGATCGGACGCTTACTACACGTCGCCATACTCCTCCATTTAATGTCGCGCGCTTGTGCTAGTTTGAGGGCCATCTTTGGGCTGTGGAACGGTGCATCTAACCTGAACGGTGAGAAAAAGGTGGCGCTAACGAAGGGACGTCACACGCAATGAGTTAGTTCCTTGGAGTATCGTGAAGTATTAAAAGTTTCGTTGTGCTAAGTTGCGCCGATCTCGCAGCGACTTACTCGCGCCTGTTTCGGCCACAATTCCACCTGTACAGACAACGATGTCGATCATCCACACGCGTTCGTGTTAAGCACTAGGAAAGAATGGTTGCTGAAGTTTGGTTGAAACTTTAGATAGTAGCCCTGCCACAAATCCTACAACCTGAAGGTCCCTTTCTGTGATTTGACCTTTTCTGGGCCGTGATCCTGTTCTTGTTCCAGGCTAGGAACCAAAAGAAAACTTTAAATTTAAATTTGGTTTCAGAAATACTGACGTTCCCTTCACTTTCTGCGCACACTTGCTGCTTTCACACCATCATGTCAACACATTACGCAATGAGCACTTCATCAGGAACCATTTTTGAAAGAAGACGAAGAAAATTTAGGGAAATTTTTCTCTCCCCTCCCGCTAGTGCTGCGAAGGATAGGATACAGCCTGGTGTTCTTAAGATCTAGGATATTCAGGAGACTCACTTAGTATTTCCAAGCTCTTCTTTGACCGTAATTTTGTTTTCCCGTCCTTAACCCATTGCGGACCGCGTGCTGCACCATGTGCAGCACGCCACCTTGCGGAGAAGGATAGTAATCTTCGATTTTTTCAACATTTTGCTAAGTTACAAAATCAGCAGTTTGCTTTTTCACACACAGGATATATCAAGTACTTGCGTACTGGTTAAATTTTCGATAGATTATTGGCCACGGATAAAAGAGATGACAAAAACCTACGGAGGTGCAATTATAACGGCGGTCCGCAATGGGTAAGTTTTATGAGCAAAGCTAGTCTGATTTGTTGCTGAAGATGATAGGAAGGCCGAGCGTAATATGGGAGTACAGTGGTAATATGCCTTTTATAACTGCATTTATCAGTTTTTAAGCGATTTTCTGTTGTTTGGGATTGAATGGTGTGGATAATTGTGATACTGTTGACGTAGAGGGGAGGTGGTAGAGATGGATATCACCACAAAAAGAACAGTTTTCCTGAAAGTTATGCTGATTTGTAAAGTAGGCCTCTTCACCGCTGTCATCCATCTCGAAAAGGTATGACAGGGATCTTTGAAGTGTCTATGCAGTTTCGGTAGAGGTACTTATAGGTGCTTCTCTCGTGATTTTTTCTGTTTCCTTCTTAGGTCGATCTTATCCCTCATCTATGGTGCTTTGCTAGGTTCGCTATTTATGCGATCATTCAAAATGTGTGATGAAGAGAAATTACCGATTTTTATCCATTTTATTTTACTTTTTATTTATTTTTCTTTTTGGCTTCATGTTTTGGATTTGGATCTTGCGATCCCGCACGAACATAGCGCTGTTTGAAAGTGCATCAAGCTCAAGTATAAAATCAGTTATAGTTTTTCTTGTGTGTAATTAGAATCAGCATTTGTCAGGATGGTGGTGAAAGAGTACTGACGAAGTGTGTCCGTGTGTCTAGTACTGCGACAACACGTGCCGTTGTGGAAGCGTTGACTGACAAATTCTTGCCGGACCTGAAAATGCTTTCTGATGACACTTACAGTCTCTGGGAGGTGAGAATCGTTGTTCGGAATTTGGAATCACCATTTATTTCTCCAGCAGTTCTTACACGTTGAACCTTATTTCCGTTTTCATTTTATTCTATTTTTTCCCATCTTTTGTTTGAAAGAGAACTTTCTTTTGTCTTGTTGCTGGCTCGGTAAAAATTCAAAGGTGGCTATTGTAAAGTGGAATGTTTTGGTGCTTCAATGTCTGTGCCTTGCTCTTAACAGTAATCTTATTTTGTAAATTCTTCGTGAATAGCCTTCTGTCCTTGCAAAGGAGGATAGTGCCGCTCTCCCCACCATCCACTGGCTTCTAGTACCATTCACAATCTCATTAGATGTGATCGGGGTGGGTCAGAAATACTAAGGTTGCGGCATGGTTTCAAGAAAAAAAAAACAACTCGAACGGTAGGGTTTACGGACTACTTGGACTTCTTCTATGGTTCTGCCTATAAATGGCGGAGAGCACAGACGATCAGAGAATGGCGCCTGGCTCGGCTCCAAATCCCAAGGAGGGAGGTGAGAGCCTTAGGACTAAGCCTTGTAAGGGGGAGGGAATCCGAAGGTGGGTGAGCCCGTCTACAGTGTGGCAAAAGTTTGAATGCGTGAGATCACAATTCCTCATGATCCGCTGATAAGGCAGAGAAGCGCAGCACGAAAAATCGTGGAGTGCGGGCAGCACACAAGAACCGAATCCAAGTAGTACGTCGACCGAACGGTAGCAGCTTAGTTTGGATTGGTCATATAATGCAGCAGTGTCCAGGACTAGAGGTCTCCTGCAGTTTAACGATGCAGGTTAAAGCGGGAGGGCTGTGGTTGTCCGTAAAAGAATTACTACATCCTGCAGAACTTTTCATTTGCCAGTTATTGCCTTTCATCGCAACTTGACACGTTGATTGGGTTTTCGTTGCAACGCCTAATGGAATCTTCGATACGATGCGAAACTGCCCTCATTCATGAGAATCAATCAGCGTAACGAGTGAAAGTGTGGTTCCATGTTTCATTTCTTTTCAATTCTGCTTCTCCAGATGAAATTATCTATCGAGGCGTTGACTAATTTTTTCTTTTCAATGCCCAATAAATTCTTCACAGGTTCACGAAAGTGGTGGAGAGCGGAAACTAGATGACGAAGAAAAACCCTTACTGGTGCAGCTTACCTGGCATCGCGACGATCGCGAGGGACGGTTTTTGTTGCGGAAAAATCGTCAAGGATTAGCTCCACTAGCTGTAAGTTTGCTACCAATGTCTATGTCGGCGTAAATTTTGAAATAGTGCTGTGTGGATGGGAAGGGGTCTTCTTCACTGCTTCAAGATATACATACACTTTTATACCTTATTTTTACTTATCTCCTTTGTTTTTTTTCACTTTTAATGGAGGTATCTTCAGACAATACAGCTGCCAGAAGAAGAGAACATGAAACGTGGTACAAAACGGTTTTCGAAACGTGAAAAGAAAGAAATGAAGAAAAGGCATCAGAAAGATATAAGTAAGCTTTTTCATTCGGATTTCTACTTTATAGATGCCAATTTTGTATTTTTCAGTTACTGTGAACACTGGCCGCGAGGAGGCGTTAGCGCCGGTTACTGATCTCTATTGTCAGGTAATGTTTTATGCAACCATCAAACTATTAACAGATCGGTTCTAAGAGCTATGAGTGTGCTTAATCCTTTGTTCGCTATTTTTCAAGAAAAATCTGAATTTTCTGATTTCTTCTAATTGTTCAGTTCATCAATGGCTGCGATCGTCATTTTTTCATTTTCTCGTTTTTCTTTCTTTTGCTTCTTCTTCCTTACCAAATGGGTTGCATTGTAGGGATATGGCTGCGTTCTTTTTTGACGAATTGCAGTTCTTCTCACATCTTCTTATTCAAAATAAGTTTTGATTTATAAGCTCTATTTCTGAAGTAAAGTGGCGTTTCAATCAAAGCTTTCATCACCATGTTCACGCTCTGATGGTCTATCGTTCTATCATCACGATAGTACACTGGTGTGCAAAACTTAAGGATGAGACAGATGAAGTATCATAACTCCTTGTGATTAGCTTTGTGGACCGTTTCAACGGTTCCTGTTAACCGCTTTCTTTAGTGCTCTGTGTGAGAGCTCTTCTGTATGTGGTGGTTAGGTCCATAGAGTGCCATCTACCCAAGTAATACGTTCGTTAGCCAAAGCTACCGTTCGTCCCTAAGTCCTGCACCTACCAGTTGTATATTAGCCGACGTGAGTGCGCAGTCCCCCGTCATAATTAGAAATCTCATGAGCCTACGTATACGTGTCATCAATTTTCGTAGTGAGCAGCGAGTTGCTTTTCCTTTCGTCCTTTTTTCTGGTACTTGAATCAGTGGTACATGTTCTTTTACCGCTCATCTAATCACTGATGCGATAAGTCCTTGCTCCAAAGTTTATGTGGAGAGTTTCATTTGAAGAGTACAAATCATTAATTTTATATGCACAGATGCAACAAGAAAAATGCAAACTTCGCTCGGACAAGCATCGCGGTCACTTTGTTCAAAATGAGGAAACGTTGCCTAGAGATGTCGGATCCCGTGGGAAGGAACGGGGCCGTCAATCCACTGCACTTTTCCACCATTTTCCGACAACTTCTGCTATGCCTTTGAGAGGCATTTCATGCGTCTCTTCCATCATATGCCCATTTCTCCTTCATGTTCCTCTCTGAGATTATTTCGCTACCCCCGGTTTAAATACTAGAAGGTTTTACAAGAATGCTGGGTTGTGAACAAAACTTTCGCCCCAGACGGTAGTGTAACTTGTAGCGCCACTTGCCCGGTAGGAAAGAGGTGTGTGTTCGTCTCGCCCAGGGCGAAGGTTTTGCTCACAACCCAGCTTTCTTGTAAAACATTCGCGAGGCGAACTGCAGCCAAAAAAGCAGTTAACAGATATGCGCGATCCTTAGAAATTAAAGTTTTGCGTTGCTGGTGTATCTCCGTGTAAATTGGTAGCGCCACATTGCTCGAATGCGATTGACCTCCCGCCTGGGGCCGGATACCGATCTGCTTTAACTCAACATTCTCGCGCTAAAAGTTGTATTGTGGAAAGGATTTTCGAGAATTTCGCAAAAAGAGAAAAGCCGGATTGCTCTTCTTTCTCCCATCTACATGAAAATTTCATCTTGTGATTGTCTAGGTTCCACCTAATTCATTTACTCGAACGATATCGAATCCTGAAGTTGTGATGAAGAAGAGGAGGGAAAGGAAGCTGGAAACGAGGTTGAAGGAGATGGGTCATGGTGAGTTTTCATTCAAAGATCTTTTTTAACCACTGGTTTGTGAAGTTCAATTAATGCTTATGAGATGGTGTGTGTATTTGAAGGAAATAAAGGCGTCTATTGTTCAGTGGTAAGTGAATGCCGTTGTGCATGATTAGTGTAGGATTTTTAGATCTGTTTCTCATATTCGTTTGTGCTAAGATCATGTATTCGGTCATTACGACGTATTCATTTTCATGCTGAATTCAGGTGGAAGTTTGAAGATTTACGGTGGTGAGTTAGTGCCATCACGACCATATGTGACGATATTGGTCTCGATGTACGATCGTGCTGATAAAATTCTCGCTGAAGCACTGGAAAAGTACGGTATCGACCCGAGTAATGCAATCGACTATGTGCTAGTTGAGGTGAGTACTGGCCGTCGTGCTGGTGGGTGCTTCGTCGTCATCCCATTGTCGTTGTCTCAGCAATGCATCCGTAATCTTTGTTTTTCATTGCCATCGATGATCTTGCACGGTCGTTATCAGTTTCCCATCATTGTTTCGGTAGTTCCTTTTTGTACGGTGTAGACGAGTTCCGCTGCTTTGACGCGATGTCGGCCGTCACGAAAAAGTACACGTACTAGCCATTATACTGAGGAAATGGCGGGCGATCATATTCACTTTATCACCGTTCATCCGCTCTGTTCTCTCCTGAAAACCGCGTAGTCAGCATCTCATCCCGGCGATATCGCTTTATAATCTTTCAAATGTACCAACTTGTGGGAAAGTGTAGGAAGTATCAGCAGAGATGGCATGCTGAAACAAAGGTAAAGGTTTTTGAGCACTGCTCCTTTTCTCATTAACGAGTGTCCTTGTCAGCAACATTGTTCACCCTTTCAAGGTGCCGGTCTCGGAAACAAACCAGTCATAGTTTCAATGATCTTCGCAATCTTCCTTCCGATGGCAGAGTAATCGACGCAGATGAAGCTCCACTGATGCAGATGGCTGCAAAGGGTAACGGGTATCCAGACACGTATCTTGCGCTAAGGAGAAAGCAGAATCGGTCAGTGAGCATAAAAGGATATTTGTTTCCTTTTTCTTTAACGAAGTTGTTTTTGCTTCTTCTTGTTAATATCGTGCTTACGGTGGAGACATACGCGACGTGGATCACTACATCGTGACCTCCCTAAGCTAAGGGAACAAAAATTCCCTTTGAATTCTCTTTGTCTTCCAACAATAATCGTCCTGAGAAACTGCATATTTGCAATGTATATATGTGTGTACGAAAAAAGTGTGGACAAAGGAAACAGTTTCATTGAAAAAATCTTTTCTTTTCTCGTAGCCGGGGAAGACCGGATACGGCTTCATGTTCCCACTTTTATAGGCCACGAGCTTCCCTCCGCTTCTTCGTAGCATTAGTGAGTGAAATCAATTGTATAGGGTCTCAAAGCACAGAAGTTCTTGCGGGCTCAGTGACATCTAGGCTGATGTTTTGTATTGGCGTAGGGCGTCTCACAAAAGGTCCATTGCGATTTTTTGTTAAACCTTCCATTTTGAAATCTGGCGCAGATAGTGTAGTGAGAATTGTAAATGGCAAGTGCATGGTTGGGTAGCTAAAATCTCGTGTGTAATCCCGATCAGGCCAACGAATCCTATTAGTCTCTTCAGCGTCGATTATTTGGTACCAGGTACCACTGGGAGTTTAAAAACACTGACTTTCCCATCTGTCCCGGCATACAGCAAGGATTTTGAAGCGCCGTTCGGCGATTTTTGTGCGATTTGCAATGGGTAGCGGTTTTAGAAAAAGCACTGAGTGTCTTACATCTTGATAGGCTAGACTTTTTTTATTAGACTAGACGAAGGCAACCCATTGAAGCACTTTTAGAAATTCGTAGCAATGAGACCAGAAATGCCTAATTCTGGTTTCTGGTAAGAGGCACCATTCCTACTCGCCCAGTTGATTTCAAAATTAAGAAGCAGAAACTTGTCAGTCCGTCGGAATGCTTGCCGTTTTTTGGCAATAAATTCTTACCTAAAGCTCAATGAGATCTTGAAAAACCGGTCGATCTCGCTATGAAATTGATATTGATCGAGCCCACAGGAGATTAGGCTTTCAGTCAGGCTGTTGCAGTGGGGGGGGGGGGTATTCGTATGTCTATGCCTCAGCTAGTCGCTGGTCACAGATCATCAAACATCAACTTTTAATTTTTTCCAGCGGTTCTCGAGTCGTTGTTCAAGATCGTGCTAACAATGTGTCAGAACAAGCGAACATGATGCCCTCAGCAGGAAAAGAACCAACGTTGCACTTTCTCGCACCCGGTGAGTTTTTGTCTGAACGGAGCTATGCTTTCTGTTTTTGTACGCTTTACGATGATTCTGTGTACTAAAAGCTTTCTCGACTAAAGAGGCTGATTTGCATTGGAACTTCAAAATGTTCGCTTATTTTTCGGGTTTCACTGTTTCATCTAGTGACAAGAGCCAGGCTCGCATTCTTCATTTGAAGTTCGGGTTGATTGATATACGTAGACTCTTGGGAGAAGAATAAGTTGCGAAGGTTTGACCTAAAAGAATCGGCCACCAGGGTATCGTTGCTGCTTTTGAACCAGAAATAGCACTTTTAAAGGTTATCGATATTTCAGCCCCGATAGAGTAGAACGCATCTTCTCTGGAGTGCGGGGGGGGGGCTTCAGTACTATCGACTTGCTTGATAGAATCCAAATAGGACTCCAACTTCAACTTCTTATTCCATGAGGCATAGAATAGATCAGATGTGCATCCAGTTGCTCCACCCGTATTGTGAGTAGGTCCAGTACATTGAAAATTGGAAGAAAAATTTTGTTTCTGGAGAAATCGGAGAAAAAACAAACCAAAGCAAGGAAGAAAAATCCAAAATCCTGCACCCTAAATCCCTGACATCTGGTCATCATTCTCCAGAGTTTCTTTTTTTTGTGCCTATTTATTTTGTTATAACTCCGACAGCAGTTTAGTGTTACCCTGGAGTAGGCACAGATAATTTTTAGATGGCTCTCCGATGAACCCACCGCGTGCTCTTAATCTGAGTGGAGGAGTCACCGAAGTAGGAAGCGACCGAGCACTGGCCCAATTTTCGGCTCAGAATATTTGCGTAAGTTTAAGTTGTTTTCCACGACATTGTATTGTCTGTGAAACCTGTTCGCAAAAGTTTTATTTCGCGTTTAGCTCGATGGTGCAGAAATGCGTGGGCGGGCGGCATTGTGTTATTACATACATGGACGGAATTGTTACAATCACTCCGAGTGCTGCGGATGCGATAATTGAGGTAAGCAATAAGGCAGAATCTTTGTTTGATCCTCATATAATACTTAACAGTGTCTGTTTGATAGCGATTGCTTGTTCCGTGTAGCACATATGTGATGAGAAAGGAGCAAGAATGAAAAATGAATCTTGATGAAATGGTGTTCAAGAAAACTAAAGGGGGTAGTGGATAGAGGAGGGAGCCTTCATGTAGGGCGATAGTGGCTCGCAGCGGAAGGGGCACTGCCATAATAACCGTGAATGTAGTTACCTCTCTAAAGCCTCTTCGGCTCTCAGAAACGACCACCGTCGGCATTTAGAAAGGATGATGATACCACAATGTGCTTCAAATTGCACCATTGCCGCCATCGTTCGATTTTCTTTTAAAGCGCACTGTTGCACCGGCCATCAAAGCAGCGGATACCAAGCTTTTGCTTTTGACTGCTTTTTTTCTTTTCTCAACTCCGTTTTCCGATTTTCGACGTAGTTGTAAACTAACGACAGTAGAGGTGAGTCCGTCTAGGTTTTGCTCATAGCATAAGCTTCAAGATATACGACCGACCAATCTACCGTGTCTGCAAATGTTGGGTACGCCTTTCAAAGGATATCTTATTCCGTAAAAGTGGAACTCTTTATTTTCCTTTCCGCCCACTATTTGTCTGGTGACGCGAGCGCTAGAAGATTACTATTGAAGGTACAAATGAAAATTTCGATGAATTTCTGGTGAAGTTGGAGTTGAATTTTGAGGTTTTGTCTCATCTCCCCCTCTTATGCTCTGTTTAGGTTAATAATCCGTCGATGGAAGACAGAACATTCTACAGTGACTGGCCGACTCTCCGCCCGCACATCGCAAAACCTCTCATTCCAGATTTGTGAGTCACCTTCAATGGTGTGTTCAACCCCAAAATTCTTTTTCCTTCAGTTTTTTCTCCTTACTTGTACTTTTTCATCCCTCTCCTTTGAAATTGTCATTTTTTGTCAAGTGGTTTCCTCGGGGAACATCGAAAGCTTCATATTTTCACAACGTTTTGTGAATTCGAGGCTTTGGCGCGGTCCTCTCAAACCCTTGCGACCGCTATCGAGTGGAGAGGGCAGACCGTGCTAGAAGCCTCTCAGAAATATTGTTGTCGTCTCACAACTTCCAACATTTATTCGATACTCTTCTTAAGGTACAGTATTCTATAATACTTTACGCATGACACTGCTCAGTGCTTAAAGCTCTCATTGTTGACTTTGCTCTTCATTGCTGCTCTGATTTCCGCACATTCTTAGCAAAATCATAAAAGTCTACTTCATTAGCAGTTATTGGCTTTTCTTTCCAAAACGTCTCATTCATATTACACTTTTAAAATCTCTATAGTAGCTAAGCAACAAAGGAGGCATTTTGATAACGGAAGGCTTAGTTAGTCTGACGGGTGAGTTACTACTGCGAAGTTTCCTCCCGATAAATTATAATCATTTTCGGGTTCTGTGCGCTTAAATGCCTAGCTCTCTTATTTCCTTGTTAGTGTTGAATCTTTGATTCTTTTGGTGTTTACTGATCCACGCGCTCTGCTCTCATTCAGAGCCGCACTGGCATTTGAATGCGATTTGAGCTAGCAGTGAGACACGGGCCCGTTTAATGCTCATGTCCGTGTTTCTGTCTTTGAAACTAGACTGGCAGCTACCAACCGATCCATAGGAATGGATGCTCTTCTCTTAAGCGACAAAACTTGTCCTTCTTTGACCTTTGCTGACCGTGTTCAGGTTTTTAGTGGCGCTTATTGCTTGTGCCCATCTCTCGCTCATTGTCAAGTTACTCATGCAATGTGAGAAAATCATTTGTGTCAATGCTCAAAAGCGACGTCGTGATCTTCTGCATTCCGTTGCCTCGAACAACTTGGCACGCCTGTGCAAACTTCTCCAAGTTTGGGCCAAAGATCTTTTTTTTATTGAAAAATCGATAAAAATAGAGGAAAGGATATGAGTAATTTCATTAAGTTGCCTGCGTAATACCTGCAAATTTCCTGTATTACCTGGTGTAGAAATGCCTTGCAAACTTTAGCTTCTGATTTTTTGGGCTCTAATTTGAGCTGCATATGATAGCTTACAGATCTATCGGTCTGGAGATGGCATTTATGCCGAGATCTGGCTCGTTCCATAATTAATGCGTACTTTTCTATCTGTTTTTTTTTTTGGGTGCTAACTTAGTTGGGGGGGGCACGCGGCGGCGCGGCAGTCTGCTCACCTGGGCTCTCTCGAGCGAGACAGTGTAAACTCGAACATTCCAGCTTTTCACGCATGTCAAGTGACTGCCCCCCCCCCCCACCCCCCTAGACTGCCTACACTCCCCCTGGCCCACGGATTTCCGAACATGCCAGGCGAGCAGACTGCCGCGCCGCCGCGTGCCCCCCCCCCAACTAAGTTAGCACCATTTCGTATGCTTTTGTAAATTTATTTTATTAAAAACAGTGTTTTCAAGCTTACCTTTCGGCGATATCCTATGCAAAAAGAGTTTGGTTTGAGTTTTGATTCAAATACTGTAGACGTAGTTTTGCGAATGTTTGGCGTAGAGCTTGGGCATATAAGCTGGCTTAAGCTCTCTCGAGACGGCACTGACCCTCGCAAGTGGCTCTTCACAATCTCTTGTCCTTTCTCACTGAAATGTTTACGTAGTGCGGAACTCGGTACATATGCTGTTTGTTCCTGCCCGACGATGTCAGCGTACCACTGATCTCGAGGGTTCAAGTTTCGTGGTTTTTATTCCCGATTCAGTTTCGGAAGGTTTTTCATCATTTCTCTTGAAAAGAGGATCTGGCAAAACGTTCCTCGATACCTCCGCTCTATAATGACCGCACAGAGAACCATAGTTAGCCCCATAATGGCCACGCAGCGAACCATGGTTAAGGTGAGGTGGGAAATTCCCAGCGTGCGCTGACGTTCTAAAGCATCTGGGGGTTATTATTATCACCAGTTGTGAGAGTGGCGAGAAACGCTCTGCCATGCAAGGCGAGACGCCTGGACTGTAATACGAAGAAAGGGAGACATTTTCCCCCGACACTTCGTTGAAAAAGAGTGTAAATAGGTTTTTTTTAGTCCAGCTTTGATGGGAAGCGGGAAACTGTTGCTTTCGTTGGGAAGATGAATGGTGATAAGCAGCTTGGATTTAAAGCGCTTGTAATTTTGTTGGGTCTGTTAGATGGAAAAGGCTGGCAAAAGCTCCGCTGCTTTTTTTTCGCTCCACACTGTGGGATAGACTAAAGTTCACGGCAAAGGAACGCCTGTCGGTGCTAGGTTTGGGAGCGGTGCGATTGGGCTTGGCCCGTGACTCCTCCCACTTGGAGGCTGAATTTACCCTTTGACCACTTAATAACAACCATTTTACTGGAGGGCGGAAGTGGTGTAGTGGCAAGTGGCACGCTTACCACGCGAGCGGTCCGGGGATCAAATCCTGGGTCGTGAGTCGCCCGGGCCAACAAAGCCTTCCATCCCTCCGGGGTCGGTTAATTGGTACCAGACTTGTCTGGGAGGATAAAAACACTGACTTGAACATCGGCTGGCCCCCGCAAGTCATTGTATAGGCCACATCGCATTCAAACGCCACTGCGAATGTACAAATGGAAGTAGAATGCGTGCCGCATCCCAAAAGGGATTGATCAACGGCAAATGCTTTATCCTTTATCCTTCTATTTGTGCTGGACGCCCAGCTACAGTTTGAATCTGGCCGTCAAGCCTGGTTGTGAAAACAGAGAACAGGTTGAAAGAAAGAGAGCAAAGTGACGGTTTAATACCAGTGAAAACCCTTTTGAGGAGCTCTTGAAAGGCGTTGACCCAGGTGTGTGTTGTTGCGCGTGAAAATGAAAGAAAAATCGCTTTTTGCGTGATGTTCTACCGTTTCTTGACCCACCCACAATACGAACAAATGTCTTGGATCAAATAGCCAGAGAACAACAACAAACATTCAAAGGAAGGAAACGAGCGAAACGGGTGTTAAAAGATTTTTTGTAAAGATAAGGACGGTGGAATGTCCCTGATTACGGTGAAAGAAGTAGCTGAGTAGAAAAGGTGTCCTCATCTAAGCCCATAAGATTAGCGTGCACTGTGTTTTTGAGAGTTCTCAGTTTTCTACTCCTCTTACTGCTGATGAATGCCTAATAATGATCTGCTTGCCTTGATTCTTTGATACAGAAATCTACGTCTCTTCGAGGTGAACCTGGTCGATACAACAATCGTATTCAGCATATGGACTTATGTTGCATATGACTGAACATTTGAATCTGGGTCAGCCGTCCGTCTTGCCGAATTAGCGAGGGGATCTTATCTTGTAATTGCCGGGAAAGGGTCGGTTTTCTAGGAATGAAATCGCTCATTTTTTCGACTTACTTGGGAAATGGTTCTTTGTATCCCCTGAGAAAGATTTAGAATTTGCCATTTCTGACATATACAGGTAGCGCTCAGAGTTGTTCGCGCGAAACAGTTTTGTGCTTTTTGTTAACCTTTTTGCCATATAAAAAAATTTTGGTGATCTGCCAAAATTTTCTTTTGTATATCTGATTCTTTGAGACTTGAGGGTATAAAAACACTAGAAAACATAGTATATCAATCTTTGGAGGACCTTGCTCGAGCGAGAATAATAATGCACAGAAAATCGTTCCGGCGAACACTTTTGACCGCTACTGTACATATGTTCTTCCAACCCCTACCCCTCTTCCCCCTCTTTCCCTCTGCTTCAGCCCGAGCATACTTCTACGGGATCTGGTTTAGCACTGAATTTTTCTGCGATTGAAGAAGTTCAGGCGATTATCGACGCTATCAACGCCATTTAGTTTGACCACGGGAGGTTTCGTGGTGTCGACTAACGTCGCTGCTCAGGTTACTCTCGAGTTATACTGGGAGCCGTATAACTCACCTCCATCGTCAGTTGTATTGTTCCCGTTCTGAACTCATGATCTGGAGCAGTAAGTAAATGCCGGGATAGGTTATAAGAATAACTAAAACTATATGGCTTTTTGCTGGGCCAGATCCTTGGCAGTTTCCGGTGTATAGTGGGTGTGAATACGTGAACAGCGGTAGGCCACATCTAATTGTTTATACAGCGACTCCCGATCAATCGGAGAACGGCGTCGGTGT